TCCCTGTTCTTGGTGTCTATGCCACAGTTATTAAGGTTGGCTTTAACCCCATCTTTAAATCTCTTCTCCTGTCCACCAATGTTACCTTTGCCGTTCTGGAGTTGGGAATATAGTAACTGCTTTGGGATATATGGTGATCGCGCATTCAGAAAACATGACCAGTCCAGTGGAGTTGATGGTGTAGGAGCATCGCTTCAATGCTGATGGTCTTTGTTTTTTCATCACACTGACATTTTTCTTCCAGTCTTCCCAATTCCCGATTTTTTGGATGCAATACTGATGGAATCATTCTAAGAGTTGAGTGTGACATCTGTAGCAGGGTTGGGAGGACAATAGCTTAATAAACAAGCACCTTGGTCTCCCTACGGATGTCCCGGTTCTCAAACACACTTCCTCATTAATAAAAATGCTGCACTTGCAGAGTTCAGGCAATGTTGTATTTTGGTGTCAATGTTGATTTTGTGGAGAGGTGGTTGCCAAGGTAGCGGAAATGGTCAACATTTTCTAACATTACACCATTAAGCTGTATTTCTGGCATTGGAGAGGGATTGGCTGGTGACTGCTGGAAGAGCACTTTGGTTTTCTTGATGTTTAATGAGAGGCCGAGCTTTGAATATGCTTCTGCAAAGGTCTTTAGAGTGTAGGTCTTCTTCTGAATGCGCACAGACTACATTGTCATCAGCATATTGGAATTCTATAACAGATGTTGTTGTGACCTTGGTTTTGACTTTCAGTCTGCTGGGGACTTCTCTTATTATGCAAATGGATCCCTCATCTAAGTATAAGCACCAGCAATATTGTATAATAAATCTAGGGACTAAATCCTCTAGGATTCACAGACCAAAATCAGATAGCAATTCTTCTGTTTCATCTCTTTTAATAATAACAAGACTCCACTATACGTATGCCATTAAGACTTCTGGTGTTTTTGTTTTTTCCCCTCTTGTTTCAAGCTATTTCAGTTCCTTAATAAGGGCTTTACGACATGTGTGTATCTCTTGTCTGCTGTGTTTTTATATTGTACTGAAGTTACCCAGAAATGTATGAATAATATCCCATGGGTCTCTCATAAAAACTAGATGCTATCTCATTAGACTTTTCTAGTGACCAGAATTTTAAATGAAGAAACAAATAAATATTTGATGCAAATGCTTTCACTGTCTCCCAAAGGTATAGGCCACAGAAATGCCTTTAAAGGGGATTCTCGCCATTGTCTCTGAACCAAAATTACTCTCATAAGGTGAAGCTTTTGCAGAGCGTCTTTACCTTTAAAGAGGCATCAGCTCCTTATCTGATGTGCTTCTTGTTTACATTCAGGTCTTTAGGTGTAGGTTTTCTGTTGTGACAGCATTCGAAAACTCTTTGTTTTCTACAGTTATGAAATAAAATGAAACCAATAGTCTATGGACACATCATTCTATCAATTATTTTGAAGGGAATGGGACCATAAGCCACTCTGATACTACCTTAAGCACAAACTATCTGTGTGTACATGCCTCCATAGGAAAGGCAGATATAAATAATGTAAAATGAATATAGAAAGCAAAACAAAAAGGAATTTTAGTATTGGATGGCCAGTTTTGGTCAGTGCAATTCCCCATTTCATTTAAAGGCATGAGAAATCCAAATGTTGTCAAGTCTCCAGGGAATATCCTTTAGCTTTTTAAGGCTGGAGACTGATAATAGCAATCTTTGTTGAAAACATCAAAGCCCAGTAGACTGTGGCCAACATCAAATAGTGAGTTTCTTATCAGCGCCATCCCTAAAATTGATATCACCCAGCGCGGGAACTTGTGATTGCCTCCTCCATACAAAATCAGCAACTATTTAAAAAGCCACCAGCAGTGAGAACCACACAATTGGAAGCACTGTTGTCATGGGATAATAATGACAGCTCTAACTAGAATCCCTACAAATTATAAAACTATTGATTGTGGAGGAAGCACTGGCATCTTTTGGAAGTATATGATTGTATCCTTGCCTGTGTATCCATTTAGGGAATATTTTTGTAAAATTACTGTATATACTCGAGTATAAGCTGAGTTTTTCAGCCTATTTTTAGGCTGAAAAATCCCCCTTCGGCTTATACTTGAGTCAAGGTTATTTATTATTTTACTCTGTTACTACTATTATTTTTATTGCTTTTATTATTTTACTCTATTATTATTATTATTATTACATTTACATTATTTTAATCTATTGTTATTACATTTATTATTTCTCTCTATTTATTATTGTTATTACATTTATTATTTCACTCTATTTATTGTTAATAATTTTATTATTTTACTCTTATTATTTTTAATATTACATCAACATTATTTTACTCTATTATTTGTATTACTTTTATTCTTTTACTCTATTTGCTATTATTACATTTATTCTTTTACTCTATTTATTATTACTACATTTATTTTACTACATTATTACTGTTATTGCATTTACATTTTTTTACTCTATTACATTTATCATTTTAATCTCTTTACTATTATTGGAAGGATACGTAAGCACATTTACATTAAAGAGGGTTAGAATAATGGCTGAATCAGAGTTGGACAGTCTTATCTTAAATGACAGTTTTATGTAAATATTCAAAAACATTTAACCTACTGATGCCTCAATTAATGTAATTTTATTGGTATCTATTTTTATTTTGAAATTGACCCGTAGCTGCTGCATTTCCCACCCTCGACTTATACTCGAATCAATACGTTTTCCCTGTTCTTTGTGGTAAAATTAGGTGCCTTGGCTTATATTTGGGTCGGCTTACACTTGAGTATATACGATACTGTGATATGGAAAGCATCCTGTAGATTAAAATGTTACGGCAACATAATGGCCTAAAGAGTGAGAATTCTGGAAATTGTATCTATCACAAAGGAGCAGTTAAATGTAGAGAATTTCCCCCCCTTGAAGACATGCACTAAGTTAGAACTACATCCTTGAATATTGATATCTTGTAGCTGTTACAAGAAAAGTCATCCCTGACAAAGCTTGCAAATGAATGAAGGCAGTTATGATGCATTTGCATATTGGAAGTAATATATTCATTGCATTTCTATTTTGGCACATTTTATTACAATATCAAAATGAGCTCTAAGTAGGTTTTACAATTAAAATGCATCGGCATTGTTCCCGGCGTTGCATTAATTTCTTTTTCTCACTTTTTAAAAATTGCCATTGCATAGAGAAAACATCCTGGAAACATGCTCGCTGAACTAGTCTCTCCGTTAAAACTGTGTATGAGGCACAATACACCCTGTGCTATCAATTCATCTTCTAGGAATTTTCCTACAGAACATTTCAGTGTTTTCTGGCCTATGAAAACAAAAATGATTCTGTCTCACCAAGAACTGGTCACCAATGATACCACGGTTTACACTTCCAGGATTATGTCAATTGGTTCATATTTGTATAATTCCATTCCAAAATGTGGAATGTCCTACACCAACAGGAATTGACTTCACTTCTACCAAACGTGTCACAATGATGGTCTTTCTAGAAGTGGTTGGACCTGTTGCTATGCATAACAAGAACACTTCTTGAAGTCTTGTTTATGCAAAAGAGGGAGAAGCCCAATATTCAACACCTTTCTCAATATTTATATTTCATTCCTGTCTGAATTGCTGCTGTCTGCTGTATCTGTAACACATCTATATTAAGCAGTATCAAAGGAGTCAACTGGCATTTATTCTCATCCAACAACTTGGTAAAACATGTGATGAACAGTGTGGATTTGTTTGAAATGTATGTGTCTTCCGCTCCCGCCTCCCTTCTTTACAATTATTTATTTAATGTCATTATTCAATGCAATTATTGCTATAATGGAATTTATTTTTATTTATCATGTCAGAAGTGAGTTGGGGATACAGTTATAATGTATTTCAAAACACAAAGTTAAAAACCTGGCATTATACTAGATGTCCTTTGACCAGGAACTGGCAACTTGGAGTGCCTCTGGTGTCACTGTGAGAAGGTCCTCCCTTGTGCATGTGGCAGGGCTCTGGCTGCATTGTAGCAAGTGGTCTGTGGTTTGCTCTTCTCCACACTCACATGTTGTGGACTCCACTTTGTAGCCCCATTTCTGAATATTGGTTCTTCATCTCGTGGAATAAGACATACTGATACTCCTAATAATAATACTAATATTCTTCATCTGGAGCCCCTGGTGATGCAGCGGGTTAAACCGCAGAGCTGCTGAACTTGCTGACCAAAAGCTTGGTTGTTCGAATTCAGAGAGTGGGGTAAGCTCCTGCTGTTAGTCCCAGCTTCTGCCAACCTAACAGTTTGAAAGCATGCAAATGTGAGTAGATCAGTAGGTACCACTCTGGTACGAAGGTAACACAGCTCCACGCAGTCATGCCAGCCATATGACCTTGGAGGCATCTACAGACAACGCCAGCTCTTCAGCTTAGAAATGGAGATGGGCACCACCCCCCAGAGTCGGATACAACTAGACTTAATGCCAAGAGGAATTCTTGACCTTTGCTATTCTTCATCCAGACTAGGGTTAGTTTATTTGTTTTGACTAAATTGTCTTATTTTCTTGTAGTATGAGCTGGTTGCTGGATTTAGGTGATGAGGTGAAGGAAATGCTATGTGTATCCTCAGTTTCTAATGTACAACGACATCCATGAATTCCTCCCCAAATCAAAAAGGGTGGCCTTCTGCCTCCTCCTTAGAGTACTGAAGCTTAGAAGTTTCCTTACAGAGTGAGACTTTCCCAAGCATTTTCGTTGTCACCTGCTACTTCCAAGGGGAGAGTGCTGTGGAATTCTTCCAGTGCTTTTATCACCCCAGGAAAGCAATTTATTGCTGATTGCAGAACTCTTGAACTCCGCCTGGCAGCTGCATTCTGAGATTTCTCTGATCCATCCTCCTAATAATTTATTTATATATTCCTTTGAAATTATTTTCAGGACCGCTTCAGAACCTCTTCACTGCAATGTGCATGTTTTTAAAAAGTCGCCCTGTTGTTTCCTTCTGTTTTTCTATTCCAGATAACAGACGAGTTACTTTGGAAAGGTCGCGTTCCCGCCACAACGGAACAATCACAGCGGTGTGAATTCATGGCTTCCATTCCATGCCAAAGAACTGGGAAGGTTTTTATTTACTATACATGGAGACAATATGAAGAATGTCTGAAGGAGCAACACTGCTTGGAAATGAAATCCAAGTGGATTCCAGGGAACAAGAACAATAAATACATATTTTTACAAATATTATTTGTTCAGGAGGAAAAAAATGATTGGTTCTAACCAAGTTTTAAGACACTGTAAACAGTGTTAAAATATAAGCCTCTCTCTTGACTACCTTAGTTTTTAAGTTGGTAACTAAGGCACAGATTACTTTTTTGTGTGCAGTTTCCCATATTTTCTTTGGGGGATACACAGCAAATCTGTGCCTAAAGAAAAGTGTACATGAATTTACATTAATCCGTGATACGAAACTGACCAACGTCACGGATCAAATCCATGGCAGAAGTCCCTCTGTAGTATTGTTTTGACATTAAATTAAAAAATAGCGTATTTATGAATTCAAATATAAGTTCACATTCCACACTTTCAAATATACCTTTTGTTTTGAACTTGAGAAAATACTGTATAGACCCCATCCATTTCCTTGGAATCTTATCTCAAGTTTCAAACATGATGGATTCGACTACGTATTAAACTTTTATCACAAATCTATAGCCACACTGTATAAAGATATATAGCTTATCACTGCTAAAATAAAAACAACAGCATAGGATTGTACCAAAGTTAAACCATATCATTTGCAGAATATGTTTTTAACTATATTTAAAGATGTATTTTCAAAGTATGCACTTATAAAAAAAACTTTATATGGCTATTTTGAGGAAAGAATCTTATGTATTTTGAAGGTTCCCAAGTCCCCTTGTGTTTGTTTAAGCTTCCAGAGACATAATCTTACTACTACGACGGTAATCAGTAAATATATATTATCTCAAGGTATCTGCTGGGATTTGGTTGCAGGATCCCCAATAGATACCAACATCCATGGATGCTGAAGTCCCATTATATACAACGGTGTAATGAATAAGTAGCATAGTATACAGAGAAAACCTGTGGAACTGTAAAACGGTGGAAGGCAACAGCAAGGGTGTCTTCACAAAAGCATAGTGCTCCTCAACACGTGTCAAAATCAAATTTTGCTTTTTGGCAAAACTAAAGCATGGTTGAATCCATGGATTCAGAACCTGTGGATACAGAGGGCCAACTGTCCTTAAAAAAGCTCTGACAACCCATATGCCGATGACGCAGGTGGTGCGCTCAAATACTAACAGCACAAAAATGGTGCCATATCCACTAATATTGGGAAAGGTGGCTCTAGAGCAGGCGTGGGCAAGCTTCGGCCCTAGAGTTGGATAGGTTCGGTTTGGAAAAACCTAAAAGTTGTAAAAACCTACCGACTTTGGGCTTCCAAAGCAGTTTTGAACCATGCAGGAAAAGCGGGAAGGACAATTCCGAATTTGAACCACTTACCTTTTTTTTCCCGTAAGTATTCCATAATGTTCGGATGTCTCCCAATATTATTTTAATTTTCTCAACCTTTAAACAACTTTTGTAAAACTTAACAGTTTTAAAACCTCATGCTGCTTCTCCCCGGGCGATGCAAGGGAGGGATGAGGTGAACGTGACTAAGCACAGCCATTGCTGTAGTTTATGAAGGGCAGGCCCCCAATGGTAGAGATTGCAAAAGGCCCTGCTGTTAAACTACATTTCCCACACTGCCTTGCTGCTCATTAGCCAAAATGGCCGGGCCACATAGCTGCCTCCTCCGGCAGCCAAGCTTCAGGTTCTTCCACTCCAGGCCTGCCTCGGCTGTTAATGCAGAGGAGAAGGAGGAGGAGGTGATGCGCCCCTCAAGTGCCACTTGGCTTCTGCTGCCGGGCTTCAGGCTGTTAGGAATGATGGGAGTTGAAGTCCAAAACACCTGGAGGAGCCAAAGTTTGCCCAGGCCTGGTTTAGTTGCAGACATGCCACAGCTCAGGATTATGGGATCCTGGGGTTTGTAGTATGGCTCTCTTTGGCAAAGGAGGCTCAAAAACCATGCAAAACTACAGCTCCCAGGATTGCATAGCATTGAGGCAAAGCAGTTGGAAGTGGTTGTCAAACTTGAGGCCTGGAGTAGAAGAGCCCCTCGGTCAGGAGTAGCCTGAGTGGAGGAGCTCCTGAAGTTTCCCCAGTGCCAGTGCCATTAACGAAGCTATTCCGAAGTTTTGGAAAGTTTTGAATTTTATTTTAAAACGAAGTGAATATAGAATCGAGCCACCAGCACCCCCTACATCCAAAATGAGTTATTTTTGGATGAATCAAGCCTATTCGGCCCTCCAGATGTTTTGGACTCCAATTCCCACAATTCCTAACAGCCTACCGGCTGTTAGGAACTGTGGGAGTTGGAGTCCAAAACACCTGGAGGGCCAAAGTCGCCCACGCCTGCCCTAGAGCATCATTTCTCATTCTCCTTTGGTCGTTTTGGCACAGGTTGCTTTCAGGCAAACCCAAAGTCTTTCAAACTGATTCTGCCGATGTAAAAATACTGCACTGTAAATTTGTTTTACTACCTCTGTCTCTGTCATTCACTCACTCACTAATTGACTCTTTCTCTCTCTCTCTCTCTCGATTGCTGTGTGTGTGTGTGTCGTTCCTAAGGAAGGAATTGTGCTTTTCTGCCGTTGTGAACGAGAGACACTTAGATGCACAAATATATATATATATCTTCCAACCTTTACAGTCACTAGTAAGTTTACAGAAGGCATGTTAGTAAGGCATTCACTGCGCCAAAAAGGTTTGGTAGGCGAGAGGAAATTTCATATTCGATCAAAACTCAGGTAAACCAGGAACAAGCTGTCTATCACTTGTTCAATTTCCTTCGCCAGAGTTTTCACAACCACTCCAATATGCAGCAGGCGATGTTATTGCATTTGGCTGTAGGGCACGCACACACAAGTATGGGAAGTATACAATGTTCTGCATGCAGTCTACTGACATTTTCTGAACCACTGTTTATCTAATGCCTTTTGCAGTTAGTAATATATGTATATTAAAACCAGTTGCCCAAAAATTCTTGTGTTACCTACTGAGTTGGTTGTACTTTAATGGAATTCTGAATCTGGCTTAAAGAAAAGGAGATTCGTAATTCCACTTCAACAAAGGTTGTGGCCAGCCTATTTGCACAACAGCAGTATTAGATACAAAGCACCTTATTTAAGGTTGTGTTGTCTGCCGTGGTTAGTTTTGGGTGAGAGACCCTTAACGGTTACCTGCTGTAAGCAGGAACTGGGGGGGAAAAATCAATTCTTAGGTCTTCCTTGCATAAGAAAACAGTATGAAATGAGGTTATCGTAAGTCAACAGGCAACTTGAGAGACCACATAAATTCAAATGCATGGAAATGAAATATTCCTCCTGGAGTGGTATGACAAGACCCCTAGAGTTGTTCATTTCCATACATTTGTCACACTAATTTCCTAGAGCATGGTTTAGGGCTTGTTCTTCAATGTTGACCTACCTCCCCTATGACTGATGGCTCTTTCAAACACCGCAACAGCTGTGGTAAATTAAAAGTCATTTTATCTCCCGCTCAGTAGGAATTTATTCCTAGTCCCTAATAAACAGCTATATACCTATCTAGTTCCCTGGTGGCATGGCAGGTTAAACCGCTGAACTGCTGAACTTGCTGACCGAAAGGTTGGCAGTTCAAATCCGGGGAGCAGGGTGAGCTCCTGTTGTTAGTCCCAACTTCTGTCAACCTAGCAGTCTGGAAACATGCAAATGTGAACAGATCAATAGGTACCGCTCCGGCGGGAAGGTAATAGCTCTCCATGCAGTCATGCTGGCCACATGACCTTGGAGGTGTCTAAGGACAATGCCAGCTCTTCGGCTTAGAAATTGAGAGAAGCACCACCCCCCAGAGTCGGGCACGACTAGACTTAATGTCAAGGGGAAACCTTTACCTTTACTATATACCTATCTAATCTATTTTTCCAACTCCTGTGTTTAGATTAAAAGTATGTCTAGCACATAAATTCAAAATGGTAACATAATAATAATTATTTATTTATTAACCATATTTATATACCGCCTTTCTCAGCCCGAGGGTGACTCAGTGCGGTTTACAAACGGCACAATTCGATGCCTACAATAACAAAGAAGAATTAAAACATTTAGCATAAATAACATTTGATAAAATAAAACCAATAAAAGTATAGATCCACAGCTTCTCATTACTAAAATCATTACCCAATTTGATAGAAAAAACATGTTTATGAATTTGTAGATTTTTGGCACAATGCATTGAAGCGGATAAGGTGCCACCAGTAATTTAAAACCCAAACCATTAAAGCAGTTTCCAGAGAACCTGTGTATCTAACCTTCTTGATATATTGAAAGGGAACCAGCATGGTGTAATGGTTTGAGTGTTGGACTAAAACTTGAGAGAATAGGGTTCACATTTACACTCAACGATGGAAACCCACTGGAAAGGATTGTATCAAAGGAAGGCAAAGGCACACCTCTTCTGAGCATATCTTGTCAAGGAAGCCTTGTAATGGGGTTGCCTTTGGGTCAGCCTGAGTCGGAAATGACCCAAAGGCAATAATGACCACAACCTTATTACGACGCCAGCATTTCCCATTTCTGATACTTTGCAGTTGGGCAGATTTTATGAACCAAATTCTCACAATGAGCAAATCCAAAAAGGACCTAAACCTGGTCTGATATTTCAGTTTTTCCCAGCCCATGTGTGTTATACCCATGTTTGGAATATTTTGTGTAATTTATTGGACATGTATCTGAATTAAACAAAGGAAGGAAGAGAGATAAAATATATTGTAAATACAGGGTGCTAATATTTATAGAATCTACAAACTATTTTCTAAATTTTATGTTGGGTCATTGAATCTTTTGCTCTTTGTTTTCCTTGAAAATGCACGGTTTTTGAAAAAGATAATGTGATTCCTCCTCCTTATCGTATATTTGATGGCCTAGTAAACATGTGTTTTGGAGGTCATAGCACCTTTTCCTAAATTGCACTTAAAAGGAAGCCTCCTTCCTCCCCTGCAAAAAAAGAAGCCAGACTTGGATAGTAAACACTGGAATTTTTGGCAAAATTAAAACTTACTTATTTTAACACAGAGATACATTTCCAATACTGCAGAACATTATTGTGCATTAAATCAATAAATGAAATATAGCATTTGCACGTTTTGTAAGTTACGTTTTTCAAAACTGTTTACAAACCTTTTTTTTAAAAAAATGTCTAGATGTATGGAATAAAGATAAATTCTGATAACTCGCACTAACGCAACTGTGTCTTGTCATGCGGCCGTACACACATACATATGTGATTCATAAACAAAACATTATTGGGATGAATTTGCTTAGGCGTGAGTGGAAATCGCATAATAGCACTTGGAGGAATGGCATAAGTACCATCAGCAATAGACGCTGGTGAGGAATATTTGGAGATGCACTCTTAACAACATCTCTAGAGTTACAAGTACATTTAAGTACGCTTTCTGATGTTTGGAGGGAGGAGGACAAGGACCTACCTCCATTTGTGTTCTGTCCCAAAAAATAATGAGTAATGTAAAAAAATTAAACATACAATTATAGTTTATCCTCTCCAAAACAGGCTCCTTGTGATTGAATACAATGCTGCTACTCTTAGAATCCAGGAGTTGGAATAGACCTCGTGGGCCATCCAATTCAACCCCATTCTGCCATGAAGCAGGAAAATTACATTCAGTGCCCTCCTGACAGATGGCCATCCAACCTCTGCTTAAAAGTCTCCAAAGAAGGAGCCTCCATCACACTCTGGGGCAGAAAGTTCCACTGCTGAACAGCTCTCACAGTCAGGAAGTTCTTCCTCATATTCAGGTGGAATCTACATTCCTGCAATTTGAAGCCATTGTTCCGCATCCTAGCCTCTAGGACAGCACAAAACAAGCTTGCTCCCTCCTCCCTATGACTTCCTCTCACATTTTGATACATGGCCGTCATCTCAGCCTTCTCTTCTGCAAGCTAAACATGCCCAGCTCTTGAAGCCACTCCTCATAGGGCTTGTTCTCCAGACTCTTGATCATTTTTGTCACCCTCTTCTGGACTCATTCCAGCTTAGAGTCAACATCTCCCTTGAATTGCAGTGCCCAGAACTGGACACAGTGTGATTCCAGTTGTGGTCTGAGCAAGGCAGAATAGAGGGATAGCATGATTTCCCTGGATCTAGGCACTAGACTCCTATTTATACAGGCCAAAATCCCATTGGCTTGTTTAGCCTCCACATGACATTGTTGGCTCATGCTTAACTTGTCCATGAGGACTCCAAGATCTTCTTCACACATCCTGCTGTCAAACCAGGCATTGTCCCCAATTCTGTATTTTTGTATTTCATTGTTTTCTGCCTAAGTGGAGTATCTTGCATTTGTCCCCGTTGAACTTCATTTTGTTAGTTTTGGCCAATCATCTCTCTAATCTGTTGAGATCGTTTTAAATTCTGCTCCTATCTTTTGGAGGATGGGCTATCCCTCCCAATTTGGTGTTGTCTGCAAACTCGATAATCATGCCTTCTAACTCTTCATCTAAGTCATTAATAAAGATCCTGAACAGGAACGGGCCCGGGACAGAACCCTACTTGTGGCACTCCACTCGTTGCTTCTTTCCAGGATGAAGAGGAAGCCTTGGTGAGAATCACCCTCTGGGTTCATTCGCTTAACTAATTACAAATCCACCTAACCATAGTTTTGTGTAGCCCACAGTTACCTGGTTTCCTTGCCAGAAGATCATGGAGGTTCTTGTTGAAGTCTTTTCTGAAATCCAGATACGCTTCTCTGTGTAGCCTGACATAGTAGTCATTGAAATCCACAAGAATGTGGACAATTTCAACAGAAAGGAAGAAACCGTGAAAATGAGCAAAATCTGGCTACCAGTAATTAAAAAACACTAAAACTGTAACGCCCTCTACATTGGCCTTCCTCTGTCGGTGATCCAGAAGCTCAAGCTGGTACAAAACGCAGCTGCTCGGCTTCTTGCGGGAATTCCGATGAGATGCCACATAACCCCAATCTTACTGCAGCTACATTGGTTACCAATTGAGCACCGGATCACTTTCGAAGTGATGGTACTCACCTTTAAGGCCTTGCATGGTCTGGGGCCGATGTACCTGAGGGACCGCCTCACCCCCTACCAACCCCAGAGATCCCTCCCTTCTGAGAACCAAGATCTACTGGAAATTCCCAGTGCCAAAACCTTGCGTCTAACAGCAACCAGACGCAGAGCCTTCACAGCAGTGGAACCATCACTGTGGAATACTCTGCCACCTGAAGTCTGTGCCTTGCGGGATTTATCAGCTTTCCGCAGGGCATGTAAGACATATCTATTTCGACGGGCCTTTGATCTCTGATTGTTTTTAAATTGTTTTAAATTGTGTTCAATTTTAGCCGTTCTTGTAAACCGCTCCGAGCCCCAGGGGAGTGGCGGCATATAAGTTCAAATAATAAATAAATTAAAACATAATTTTTTTAAAAAAAATAACAGTAAATAAAGAACAACATTAAAAAAAAGGGGGGGGGGAACTCCAGACATGAAAGAATTAGGAACATCTAATCACTTCTCAACAAAGGAATTTCCCAGGCAGTAACAAGTCACACCTAAAAACTGCCAGGCCATAAAATGCTAATCAAGTTGGCCAATTGAAACATTCACATCTACCTCCAACAGACAAGAGTTCTTTCTCCCACCCTGGACCTTCAACAGATATATAAACACAATTTTCCTAGTTTCCAACAAACCTCACACCCTCTGAGGATGCTTGCCACAGATGCAGGCAAAACGTCAGGAGAGAATGCTTCTAGAACATGGCCATACAGCCTGAAAAATCTACTAAAGTTTTTCTAAAATGTTTTTGTGTCTTTCACAATAGTTTGCTGTCCTTCAATATCCATTGAGTCCACAGATTCTTATTACTCTTTGCAAGTGGTGGTTTATTTTGACTTAGGCAATAAATTACCCTTATTACCTTAATCATCCCAAGATTGCTGAATAAGCTGCATTTCATCGCACAGGAATCACATCCCAGTGGCTGCTGCCGCTCTTTGAGGCTAGCCGCTGTTTCCAAGGAACAGAGATATGAGTCAATCAATATAAAAGGCATTACAATTGCATGGAGTATCATGTGCAACAGAGTCGTGCATATAGTTTGAGCTCTGATTGAATCTCTGAAGAGTTTACACATCTGATGTGAATTAATACAGTAATAGGATCCTTGGAGGCATTTTCATGGCAAAT